AGAACTGGAAGATGAGGTACAAGATGATCTTAAGCGTGCAACTGGAGAGTTTACAAAAGAGGGGGATGATGCAAACAAACTCAACCGTATTCTTCAACTAACTGGATTCAGTGATCCTGTTTATGCAGAAGCTTATGTTACTGTTCATCATTACGACATTGTTCTTGATGTTACAGTGATTAACAGAACTAAAGAGACTCTTCAGAATTTGTGCCTAGAGTTGGCCACTATGGGTGACCTTAAACTTGTTGAGCGCCCTCAAAACTATACCCTTGCTCCGGAGTCGAGCAGACAAATAAAGGCTAACATCAAGGTTTCTTCTACTGAAACAGGAGTCATATTTGGTAACATTGTATACGAGACTTCTTCTAATGTGCAAGAGAGAACAGTCATAGTTCTTAATGATATCCACATAGATATCATGGATTACATTTCTCCTGCATCCTGCACGGATGTGGCATTTAGAGCAATGTGGGCTGAATTTGAGTGGGAAAACAAGGTACGTACTCTCATTTGAAAACTACCTCAATATATTTTTTTAATAGGGAGAAACTGTGATATTTCATTGAATAAATGAAATTAGCACCAGTGGTGGCTTACAAGAAACATTGCCAATTATAAGTCAATGAGGAGAGACTATAATCCTTCAAAGGTTGTGAACATTTACACCAAGAAAGAGCATCAAACAAAAGTTAAGCTAGAAAGTCCTCAATAGAAGAATGAGTGTTGTTGAAGATCCTCCTATTCTTCCGCACCAAAGAGACCAAAAAAGGAACGTTTAAAAGCCAGCCATGAAGTTTGTGCAATCTCCTTTAAAGGGATGTCCCACAAAAGTCAGTGATAGAAGATCAAATATGGTGCCAGGCACAATCAAACACCACCCAAAACTTTTCACAATGAAATTCCAGTACTGTATAGCAAAGAAACAAGAAGCAAAATGGTGGAATGAGATTCTGAGCTTGCATTGAACATAACACACCATGAAGGAGAGAGTGAAATAAGGCATTTGTCTTTGGAGGCAATCTTACGTATTAATGTCACTCTAAATTCCCATATAAAGAACTTAATTTTCCTTGGAAAAAAAGCCCTTCCAAAGCACTGAATAAAGAGGGTTAGTAACATGATCTCATGGCTTCACTAGAGCGTCGATGGTAGAACAAACTGTTAACTTCTTGGATGGTTCAAGAGTCCAAACCCAAGAGTCAGCCATAGGCTTTAATGTAATAGATGTTAGAATGTGGAAAGAGAAGCCGATTCATCAATTTCGTTATCTTTAAGATTCCTCCTAAGCCTCAAATCCCAATCTCTGTTTTCAGCATTCCAAGAATCAGCCACAGTAGCATCCATATGATTTTGGATACAAGATAGCCAAATTAATGTCATGCCGAAAGGAAGTGTAAAAACCATTGTCCAACGTTCTTCTAATATATAAACCAAGCTGTTCAGTAAAGAAATCCATCTCCATGCAGCTTTGGAACATCCCAAATTGGAAGAATTAAGCCACTGTTGAAAATTTTCCATGGGATAATATTTTGCTTTAATGATTTTACACCAAAGAACATCTTCTTCAGTAAGAAATCGCCCAATCCATTTAGACTAAAGGGCTTCATTCCAGGATTAATGATTTCCAATGCTCAATCCTCCCAATTGAAGAGGAGTTAAAGTTTTTTTTCCCATTCACATTATGCATTCCACCATCACCTTTAGCACCTTCCCGTAGAAAGTCCCTAAAATACCATGGTTTTATCTATTACTTGCCAACGATGACCAACCAGGAATGAGTGGACGAATTTAATAGAGTTTAATGTTCAAATTATCTGAACTGGATATAGGTTTGCTTGACAATTGACGTAATCTGAGTTTTTCGTTTGGAAAGGCTAGCTCAGTCAGCCATTATTAATTATTGAATTGCACCTTGAAAAAAAAAGGTTTTGGTACTTCGAGTTGTTATGTCTGGATTCATGAACATTTTGATATCTTGTCTAATGTTTGGGTTGACCAATTTTACTAACTTTGTTGTGGATTGGCTTGTTTTAATGTCTTAAAAACGGCTTGCATTGAAGTTGCTTTCTACTTCTGGTATTATTTTCCGTTTTGATGAGAATATTGAAAGGTTTTGGGCCTTTGTATTACCCATCAAGGATGCGTAACTTTTTTTAGTTTCTTTTGCAAATCTTTTCTTTTGATTTGAAGTATCTACTCTCATGTAAGGCTTCCATTGTGTAGTAGCTTGTCCACCCCATCTATATACACAATTTTTAATGTGAACTCTCTTTTTCCTATTTAGTGATGTTAAAGTAATTTTCATACAATAAATTTTGATTATGGTTCAATTCGACTGCAGGTTGCTGTGAATACAGTAATTCAAGATGAGAAGGAATTTCTAAATCACATTATGAAGTCGACGAATATGAAGTGCCTGACACCAATGTAAGATCCTTTAGTCTAGTATTTCCTCTTTTACCTTTGGATGCTTTATGCTTATGTGGACAGGACACCTGCACTAAAGAACTGCTTTAGATGTTCATACTGTAGCCTGGTACTTCTACTGCAATCCCCTCTGATTTAAAATTTTCTTTCTGCTGGACTTGCTCTGTTGCAACTACCTGTTTGATATCAGCAACCTCAAATTTGATTCCCCTGATATTTTCCATTTCATATCCACTCCTTGCTTGTGCTACTAACCATTTTCTATGAATTATGGAAATACTGCATGGTTAAAAGATGATAAGAAAACTAAAAGTTAGAGATTTCCATATCATATTTTTTAAGGGTTTTTAAAAATAGTAATTTTCTCTCGTTTTCCAAATTATTATTACAGTTTTTTGGTGAGGTGGGTATATCATATACGTAGTTACATGTATTTAAATCTGTCTCTTTTCGTTTTTGGGCATCAGATCGGCATTAGAAGGTGAATGTGGTTTCCTTGCTGCTAACCTTTATGCGAAGAGTGTTTTTGGAGAGGATGCTTTGGTGAATGTGAGCATTGAAAAGCAAGCAGACAACAAGTTGAGCGGGTACATCAGGATACGGAGCAAGACTCAAGGTATTGCTCTCAGTCTTGGGGATAAGATTACTTTGAAACAGAAGGGAGGCTCATGAACATTCAAATTTGATGAATAATATTTGGAGTTCTTACTATTAAAATTTTGCTTCAACCTCTCTCACTGTATTTCCCTCCTTTGCGGCCATTCGAACTCGTTGCCATTTTATTCCCTTTTACTCTTCATTTTCATTTAGACCTTGAGATATCTCCCTTTTTCTAGAAAGAGGGATCTGTTGTTATATGTTATTAGTAGTGTCCACAAACAAGTGGCAATTCTATGCTGTCTGTCTTTATTCTTTATTCCCTTGTTCGACCTCCTTATTGTGTAGTTATTAATGTGTACTACAGAGTACCTTCTATAGTTATAAAGTTTCTTTTTGTTGATCTTTTGACATTGTTTACATGTTTGTTCATCATGTTTTGCCTCTAAATTATTCTGCAAATCTTGGTCTTAGGTGACAAACCTATACTATAATTTTACTTCGTTCCAAATTCAGCATAGAATACGTCATTGTGAATCTGCAAATCTCGGCTTCCTTCTCGTTATTGGCTTGAGTAAAACCACCCCATAACACATCTGAAGCTTTTCTCTTGGCTGCTGAAAACGAATTCTGTCATAAGCACATAACACATCACAACACGGTCCAATCCTTCCAAACAGAAACACATTAACATGCAGAGGTAATGCATAATATATGTGTAGAATGATACCTGTCGCAGTGTAGCCAATTTTACCCACAAAAGGCTCCCATTTGAATGGTATCTGTAAAGCAATAGAGCATGGCTTTTTCCAATCAAAAATCTTCCAGAGTGATGAAGTTTGGGTGCTTGATGTTGCCTACAGTTGGGATTTCCTTGACCATATTTTCGCTTCCCCCTTTAAACTCAAACTTTGAAGATTCACAAGATTTCCCAACTCATAAGGTATAAGACCTGTAAGCCCTTTGCTTGAAAAATCAATTGACGTGAGATTGATGCAATTTCACTATCCTCCATGAATAGAAGGCATAAAATGTAGTTATAAAGGTAAAACTTACTTTTGACCTTGGTGTAACTACAAACTACTTGTGAATGATTGATTTGTTTATAATGATTATATTTATAGACGAACAACTTGTGAATGATTGATTTGTTTATAATGATTATATTCATATACGAACAACTTGTGAATAATTTATTTGTTTATAATGATTATATTCATAGACGTAACTTGTCTCATCGTGTTTAAATAGACAATTATATAACTATAGTGGAGTAAGTTATAATTAACAAATGAAAATTGATTAATTAAAAAGTTTAATTGATTAATTTTGCATCATTGAAACTTATAATATGTAACTTATAATATGTAGGCAGATAACCTAAGAGATCAATTTAGTTTAAAGAAAAATTTTAAGGGTTAGAAATAAATATTTAATATTTTTTATATATTAAAAGTAAAGTGGAAAAAATATATTTAATTTAATTTAATATATAATATAACGTCAATCTTTTTTGATTTTGTCAGCATCTAATTCTCCATAGATTGTTGGAGATCTCGTATAACAAGCAACCCCCTTTGAACTAAATACCTTCGAAGGATAGATATGTTATAGCGGAGTGTTTCACGCATTAGTTAGATTCTCTCATCTTTCTTCAATCACATAACACTTTTTATATATTTCTATTACAAACTTACCACCGAAAGCGAAATTTTTTTACTTAACAAGTTCCTAAGCACCCTAATCTCATCCTAATTTTTATTTAATTAATAATTAATTATTATCAACCTAAATATAATTTAATTATTTAAAATATCATACCATCACGTCAATCAAAAAGTTAACCTCTCACTCTTTATCACAAAAATAAATAAAATCAAAACAAGTCCTCACTTGCATTTCATTTTATTTCATCAACATACACAAAAATACAAAAAGTAGTTTAAATAATTATTAAACAGGGCTGGGCTTGGGCCTGGGCTTGGGCTTGGGCTTGGGCTTGGGCATCTGGCCAACAAGACATAAAAACTATAAAAAAAAAAAAAAAAAAAGAAAAAAAGAAAAAGGAAGTAACCGACATGTCGGAAGTGAGTCCCATAATTATAGGTTTAGAAACACAAACTCTTCAACGGCAGCGACTTGTCCAATTTTGGCGAGAGTATCCTTAGTGGGCACTTCATCCACACCAATTGCCATAATTGCCCTTTTCTTCCTTACCGTTCTCCCAACGCTCATAAAATTCACATTCACATTATTCTCTCCCAGAATGTTTCCCACCCGTCCGATCATTCCCGGCTGATCCACCTGTCGACACAGGATTAAATTCCCTTCCAAACTCACATCCACGTCAAACCATCCTACACGTGTCAAATGCGGCACTCCATATTTCACCTTCCCTTCCATTGCCACCTCACCCGTCTCCGACACCGCACTCCCAAACTTTGACTCCACGTTGGACACCAGAATCTGAATTGACTCCACTGGGAACTCCGGCGGCGCGTCCACCAGCACTCGCTCCTCGCTTATACGGAGACCCTTCTGCTTCGCCGTGAAATCCGCGTTCACCAGGTTTATGTGGCTGTCGGAGATCGGCTCGATTATGCCTTTTGTGATCATGGCTCGTAACAGCCTCGTGTCTAAATCGTCTGGGGCTCGCCCTGATCGGTAAACTACTTTAATTGATTTTATTCCCTTACCTCCGCCGACCAGCTGTACCGCCAGCCGCCCCAATTTCTCCGCCAGAATCACGTACGGCGCCAACTCCGTCAGGACCTGTTTATAATCCCGTTTAATTTCACCCCCAAATCCAAATTTTTTGCATTAATTAAGCTTAGTTACCTCCGGGGCCACCATCGGAGCGTTGACGGCGGTGGCGGAAAGTTCACCTTTCAATGCACCCACCACGGCTTCGGCTATTTCAATGGCAACGCCTTCCTGTGCCTCCTTGGTGCTAGCTCCAAGATGAGGCGTGACGGTAACATTCTTATGCTGCACCAGCTTGCTGTCTTTCGCCGGTGGCTCCTCCACGAAGACGTCAAGCGCCGCCTATTCCACCGGAGCTCAATAAATTATGGCGCACTTCATTCAATACAACAATTTTTTAGAATCGGAATTACCTGAGAAACAACTCCACTGTCGAGGGCTTTAATTAAGGCATCTTCATCAATAAGACCTCCTCTGCCAACGTTAATCAACCGAGCTCCTTTCTTCATCAGACTAAAAGTGTCGTCGTTGAAAAGCTTTGTGGTTGTCGGCGTGAGCGGCATATGAAGCGAAATGAAATCGGCGGTGGATATGGCTTGATTGAACGACACCAATTCAACGCCGATGGCTCTTGCTCTGTCCACCGGCGTGTAAGGGTCGTGTGCTATCACTTGCATCCCCAACCCCTTTGCTCGTCTCGCCATTTCCGATCCCACTTTCCCGAATCCCATCACCGCTAGTGTTTTTCCGACCAGTGAAACTCCGACATACTTGCTCCGTTCCCATTTTCCTGGAAACCCATTACAAGACATCAATTTTGGGGTAACAAAACACACTTTTAACGCCCAAAAACAGAAGGGGTTAGCAATTATAAGCAGATCTAAACATTGAAACAAAAGGGTATTCATTTATTACCGACCTGCTTTCATGGAGGCATCGGCCTGAGCAACATTTCGGGCCATGGCAGTAAGCAAGGCAATACCATGTTCGGCGGCGGCGATGGTATTGGCAGTAGGGGCATTAACAACAAGACAACCAAACTCAGTGGCGGCCTGCAGATCCACATTATCAATACCAACACCGGCTCTTCCAACAACCTTCAAACGCCCTTTTGCAGCCTCAAAGACCTGCCGGTTCACCTTGGTGCCACTACGCACAATCAAGGCGTCGCAAGAAGAGATCTTAGCGCAAAGCTCTTCCGGTGAGAGATCGTAAGCGCAGTCGACGTTCCCAAAGCTCCGGAGAAGCTTCAAACCGGCCTCTCCAAGTTTCTCGGCCACCAGAATGGTCGATCTGTCATTTGGGAAAGTGGGGTCGACGAGATCGGAGCTCCGAACATCTAATTCCGACGATTCCACCGTCTTCAAAACGCTACGAACAGGAATCAAATTGGAACTCCTGAGAGAAACAGAGGAGGTGGAAATGGAGCTGTGAAGGAAGGGAAGAACAGGGGAATTGGAATTGGAATTGGAATCGGAGGATCTGTGGAAGGAGGCGAAATGGGTTGAGGAAAAGAGGGATTTTGCAGAAGAGGAAGCCATGGGAGATGAATTTGGTGCTGTGAATGATGGCGTTGAAGGGCTTTTTAAGTGGAAAGAAACGAGAAGGACTGTTGATGGAGGGAGGAGAAGGGGTGAGCTTAAAATAGTGGGGAATGGGTTTAAGGTTGGGAATTTTGGGGAATAATTAAAACATAATTTACCAACCATTCAAATTTGTGTTCTTCTCTTCTAAACGAATGATGGTGGGAAATTGTTCTGTTCATTCTATATATGAATTCTCATTCTTTTTAATCTCTTGGTTCTTTCTTTTTTTGAAAAAGAAAATAGATAAATAAAGTTTGGTTCATATTGCCCGACACCTTCTCCGACTCGAATTACCCTACCCTAGTAGGTTCGGTTGGTTTTGAAAATTCAGATTGATTTGTAGATCGGTATTTTTTTAATCGACTACAATGACTAGACGAACCAGGACTCATCAGACAAACCATGACAAAACTAGCATTGGCATTTCTAGGATGGGCTAGGGAGTGCCCTTGAAATGTTGTCATCATGACCTAAACGGTCGTACTCTCTGAGTTGTATAGAGATCTAGAACAGACACTATTTTATCTTGTCTACATCTCTTTTTGGAAGTAAAGCTTAGAAGCTTGTAACTCGGGCACTACCCTTCAACCAACTTTTTAATTACCTATTTTATATTTTAGTGTTATCACAATGCAGCAGAGTCAAGTCTATGTGTTATAACTGACATAATATTAATTATAAACACTTTAATTAGTTAAAAACAAGTCCATCATAGACATTGACAAGTTGTTCGTAATTACAATTTGGTCAAAAGTCTATTTTACCCGTATAATTACATCACTTGTAAGTAACACAGATTATCGTGAAACTCCATTATTCAACTACCCCTCATATCCATACTTATCTTAATATTTGAGTTCACGTCATTAGCTTCTTCGAGATCGTCTCAACCATTGAGTTCACATTATTAGCTCTCCTAAGCTCACTTCATTTCCTCACTTTGAGCTTATTTCTATATTTGGGTTTAGATCGATAGTTGGTATGATCCTATATGTATATTTGAGTTCACGTCTTTAAGACACGACCCTGCAATAACCACATCATATAAATTCAAGAAGTGACCTTACAACCATTAAGGTATGACCCTACACTAATTATATCGTATACACGTGAGGAGTGATCTTGCAATCATTAAGGTAAAACCTTGTCGTAATCACATCATAAACATTTTAAGGAGCGACCTTACAATACAAAATCCCAGCTGAGCTCGCAGGGAAAGATTTAAATGTTTTTTTTTTTTTTTTTAAGTTTTGTAATATATTCTTAGTTAATTAGATTAGAAATTTAAAAGGACATTATAGTAATTATACCAATTAAGATTGACTGATTTTTATTACTAGTACAGCCAATTTCCGAGGCCCAAATGATTGAGTAGTTAAATTACGAATTTGCCCCACATCTGAGCATGTGATGTGTCCTCTGTGAAGCCCATAAGGCGACCAATCAATAAAAAGGTTGGACTGTTGGATCTAATACTGGGGCCCTCATGGGGGCTCTCTCCGCATTTAGAGGAACGGCTCCCATTTCTCCAATCACCGGATCGCACGTGGCATCTATATAAAAAAAATCTACTCTAATTCTTTCTATTTTTTTTATTTTTTTTTTTATTAATTTGAAGACTACATGATTATTGCAAGTATATGTAAGTGTTGATGATTGGACATGTTTCGTTGCAAGACCATCTAAAATACCTAGGGTACGTTGAGTTGGTATGAGTTTGAGTGCGAATGAGAATGATGCATGCTTGGGAGTATGGCCTAAGCACTCATGTGCATGCTAAGGCCTATGGGTACGGTGTGTGCATGGGCGTCAATGCTGGCCCCCTTGCCCGCAATTTGTGTGATCCCAAGTGCACGTTCCCCATGCTAGTCTTGTGTACAAGTGCGTGGACACCCTACTTGCTCCTGCATGTGCGCGTTGTGTTATGGTCATGTTTATTCAAGACGTGTTGTCTATGACCATATGTCAGATGTCCTGGTCATACTTGTAGATAAGCCTTTATTATTTCGTGTTGTGTCATATGATGGTGTATGATCATTCACCAAAATCATGTCTACACCCATTAGGGCTAAAATGCTCCAAAATATACTATAGGGGATATGACTAGTTGTCTCTTCCTCCTACTCAGGTTATATGCTATTAAAGTCGTTTTTGTTGCCTAACCGCTTTTAGCTTCTAACATTGCTTTCTTTCATATTATTTTCAACATATTTCCTTGCTCACGTTTTCTAAAACATTTCTCTCAAACGTGAGTCTAAATTTCTCACGGCTGGCTTATTCATAATATTAGAATAAGTGTCGCACAATCACTATTTCGTTGTTACAAGAGTGTGATTGTGACATTTTGCTAGTTTCTGAGCATTCGTGTACCAAATTCATTAAAAAAAAATCAATGATTAAAATGGTTGTTATCTTTTGAAAGTTCAAACGCTAAAAGATACATTTTAAAAATTTATGGACGAAAACGAAACAAAAATAAATAAACAAACAGAAAAGTTGAATTATTGTAACGATAATTAAAATGTATGGTCCCACATATGAAATGAAAGAAAAATAAATAATTATATGAATGATGACACTGACGACAAAGAAAAGTATTAAGGATAGATGAAATGAGGGGCAGATGCATGAAGTTGAACTATATATCCCACAAAATGTGAGTATCAGAATCATTGGATTGGATATTAGAAAAGTGGCTTAGGTTTTGAAAAAGTGATATCAAAATGGGGCATGCGCACCCATTTCATGCGCCTCAACTTTGTCCCTAACGTTCATTTTTTAACTGCTAATAGATTATAAGAGTAATTAAAAAGTTTACCTTTTAAATTTTAAAATTACATATATATTTTATAGTTATTGGATGACGGTGTATATAAATACTATGGTAACACATTAGAATTTAATTCTTTATTTGGATTATTGTTTTAAATTTAGAAGGCTCGCATTCATCTATTAAAGTTTCTTTCATTTTTCTTAATTCAGTCGAGATTTTCAAAGTGAATGTCTTAATCTATTTCATTGCAACGGTTCTTTCTCAATTGTGTTTTTGAATTGCTCATAACTCGTGGGAGCCAATTTGTAAATTCGAAAAAAATCGAACACAAATTAAGAAGGGTTTGAGTCTTTTTGAACCTTTTATAAGAACATGCTAATTTCAAAATCATCCCGAAATGAGTAAGTGAGTCTCCTAATTATCTTTTAGGACAAATATTGGGTTTTCAATTAATTTTCATGATGTTCTTGTTTCATGTTGATTTTTAAAATTGTTAGGTCTAATGAATGTGCTTTGAACTATAATTATACCTTATTTGTCCATGAACTGATTGACATGATATAAAATAATTTTGTGGTAATTACACGTTTGTATGATCATAATTAGCCGTTATGGTAATTAAATGTTGTGTGATTGAGTGTTTAGCTACAAAGTCACCATATGAGATGTGCCTGCGTGGTTTCCAAAAGAGGAATCAAAATGTTGTTTTTGGCCATATATGATATTATAGACGAATGTACAAGATCCCTATATATCGGTTAAGGTGAATCTAGATGATCCGCAAATCATGCATGAGTCACTCACTTTAAAAAAACAAACTAGTGTCTTGCATATTTCATTTCGACAATATGGTATTTTACTCGTATTTTTTTATCGAATAAAGGTAAGGATTTGTAACGGGTGTAACGAAGAAAGTTGCTAGAGTTGCCATGGAAACTAATGCTAGTATGTCTCGTTAGTTTAAGTTAAAAAGTTGGGTTGCTACACTAAAGATCTAAACACATTTATAGTTTCAAATTCACTAAAATCTTAAATCACCCAATCATAAATTAGTAAATTTAATCTAACTTCTAACGAAGGCGGCCCTAGCTGCTCCAAAATCATCGGGTAACACCTAAGACTAGTGTGGAGGCTTGTGAAAATTTTATATTTCTCATAACATGTTATATCTCGAAGGAATCTTTTGTTCTTTAGTAGGCCACAACAATATTGTTGGTGGGAAGTTGAGCTTTATGGAAATGCTCTTGGTGCGAAAGTTGGTGGGGTGAAGAAGAAAAAGAAACTTAAAAAGCATGATCATCAAATTTCTCGAGATATGGAAAATTTGCATTCAATCGTGAGGTTGACGGTGACTCGTAACTGACAAAAATAGATAATATTTGACAGTTGTGAACTTGAGGAAAGAACTGAGCATTCTTTTAACAGGGTGTGAAAACTTCTTCTAACAAATCTGCACAAGAGTGTGAAAACTTCTTCTTAATCGGCTAAAGTAACAATATTTGCTAACAGTGAATTTGGGCTATTGTACCGAACCACCTATGAGAAAGCCAAACAATGAGTTTGGCCTTTTATATTTTTTTTATTACCTTATTATTTTTAGTTTATCTTTTTATTATATGTTTGGTTACTTATATATATTTTTCTTTTATATTTTTATATTTTTTTTATTATTTTTAGTTTCTTTTATATTTTTTTTGTTTAATTTTTTATATATATTTTAAATTTCTTTTCTAAGGATAAAATATACTTCAATATTTCATACATTTTTTTTTACTAATTTTAAATATATTGTTTTATAAATGAATTATCTAACAAATAACTATACATTTTACTTTATATTATTTTTAACATGGTTTATAATAAGAATAAACTAACAAACAATCCTCTATAAATTTGTTTTAATTTAAAAAATATGGTTTAAAATAAATTATTGAATATAATTTATACCGATAATTGTACATATATTTGAGTAATTTTAAAACATAATGTTTTCATTTTAAAATTCTTAAATGAATTTTTTAAATCGAGAATTTCTACATTTGTATTGGTTGAAAAAAAATTTAGATAATTCTTTTTACTTTCCATCTATCATTTTTGTGGTAAGACTTAATTGAAAAAATGAATTTAAATATCGAATTTTATAAATAATTACTCAAAATATATTTTTTTATTATTTTATTTAGTTTCTTTTATTTTTTTATATTCTTATTACTTTATTAATTTTGTTATTATTTTGTTTAGTTTCTTTATATATATATATATATATATATATATATATATATATATATATATATATATATATAT